ATTTTGCTTGGCGTCTTGTTTGGCATGCCGCGTGGATTCTCCATCAGAACATATAAATACCCCTTAAAGGCCACGCCAAAAGGTAATTGAAACCAACCCTAAGCTCCTTGTTCCTCCATTCTAAAGATAGCCCCGATTATTGCTGACTTAAGCATCAGAGTGTCTACCCCGAGGATTCACCTCAGGGCTTTGCAAGTCAATCCAGAGTGCAGATACGGACTGAAGAAGGACTTCTGGTTTGGTGCAGTTACATTTTGGCGCCGTCTGTGGGAAACTGAACTAAAGGCTCCCTTGTTGCTCTTATCATGGTTAAAACTAGGTCAGCCCGAGGTGGAAACTCGTCTCAGCCTCTTGGACGAGGTCAGGTCCCCAGCAACCTTCCACCTCATTCCCCACCCCCAATCCCAAATACGTTCCCTCCTATTGATCATGTAAAAGGAGAAGATGAAAATCAGCCACACAATTCGGCTAGCAACTCAGCTTCTACTGCTAACCAAGACGTAGTTGCAACTCAGCTCGCTGCCATGCAACAGCAATTTGGTGTTTTTCAGCTAGTGCTGGCTCAGCTATTAGCCCAGAATAATCCTAGTGATCCACTCATCAACCTACTTAATCCTGCTCCACAACCTCCAGCCCCACCATAAAATCCTGAACCAGTTCAACATGCTCCCGTTGTTAGTGAATCTCAGGGCCAATCTCACATTGCACCAGCTCAGCAACCCCCTCATGATGATGTCACTCGATGTCTAGATAGCCTAGAAAAGCTAGTGGTTGAACAGCGAGGTGTTCCACCTCCACACCCTGCTGCTGATTCTATACCCCACCCTCTCAACACCAATATTATCCTGGAACCCTATCCCACTGGCTTCAGAATACCACAGCTTGAAACTTATGATGGGACGAAGGACCCCGATGATCATCTACATGCTTTCTACTCCTGCATGCAGGCCCAGAACGCCTCTAATGCGTTGATGTGCAAAATCTTTCCCTCTACCCTCCGAGGTAATGCTCGAACCTGGTACTACAGTCTGCCTCCGAGGTCAATCAACTCTTACACAAAAATGGCATTTTTTTTTTGCCACAAAGTTTTCCAGTAGAAGGTTGATCAGGAAAACCACTTCTGAGCTGATGCGAGTTAAGCAGAGAGACGGAGAGTCTTTGAAGAATTTTATGAGCAGATTCAATGATGCAGTGCTGGAGGTTAACTCTTTTGACCAAGCTGTGGGAATTATAGCCGTGATCTTAGGTCTTAGCCATGAGAGATTCAGAGATAGTCTACTCAAACATCCTGCTAACACCTTCAGCGAGGTGAATGATAGATTGTTGAAATTCATAACTGTTAAGGAATATGCCCTGTCGCAGAACCTAACTCCTATTAAGAGCCAACACCCGGACTGGAGAGATGAGAATCCGAACAGGAAACGGATGAAGACAACACAGAACTGAAGTCCGATGTCGACTTCCACCCTGAGATTCGGAAAGCCGAACTCCGCACCTCCACAACAACCTGCAGGTAAACCTCCAGTTAATTGGACTCATTTTAATTTACCG